GATACTATGAACAGTACTATAGTTATTAAAGGAATAAAATCTGTAACTAACTTCTGCAAAGAAAACTAGAACCCAATATCACTCTTAGGAAAATATTTACTCTCTACTTGAACTCAATAATTTCATACTGGACTAGGAACCTTTAAGAATTCCAAGTATTGGCGTTTTCTAGAACATTTCTTAGCATCTGGTTGAAACTCAGAATGCTTGGCATCTGAATTTTAAAATTTTCTCTCATGCACGGCCACTATGTTAACTTTCCATCCCTATAACAGAAACACTTGAGATAATTAACTCATAAAGAGAGAAAAATTTATTCTGGCTCATGGTTTTAAAGCTTCTAGTCTATCATCAGAAGGGACTCACTATATTTAGGCCTCTGATGAGTGTTAGGTCCAGATGGCAATGCTGGGAGCAGTGGTGAAGCAAACTACACACTTCATGGCCAGAAAGCAAAATAAAGAGAGAAGGATGGGGTACCACAGTTTCTTTCAAGGGTATGTCCTCCGTGCCATGACTTCAGGACCTCCTACTGGGCCCCACCTCCTAAAGTTGCCATGACCTCCCAGTAGCACCACCCTGAGAACAAAGACTTTAACCCATGGGCTTTTAGGGGAATTCAACTGCCAAACTATAGCAGCCACTATTATCTTTTCCCCAAATAAAGGAGAGCATCATGGGGTAGTTCCATGTTGATCCCCAGTAGAGTCTCCACCTGAGTCTGCACCCAAAATGCCTCCCCACTAGGTACTCAGAGATTGGGGCCCTGTTTCTGTTAATCCTTTTCACAATGAGTTATAGCTTGCTCCAAGTGATGTTTCAAAGCCCATTCTTAACAGACCTGAAGCAGGAAAGGGATGTAGTCATTTGGATAGATAAGGAAGAGTATTCCAGGAAGAAGGCAAGGAAGGGCCAAGATCCCATATGCCAGGAATATGTTACCATGTTTGAAAAAGAACAGAATGCAATGCAGTGAGTGAGACTATAGGCACAGGAGCAGAAGTCAGAGAACTTATGGGATTCCAGAGGAGCCATGTATGTGGTCTTGTGTGCTACCGTAAAGACTTTGCTCTTCATTGGCTGAGGGGTATGGGAAATAGCCTTAGGCATAGCAGTGATATGATCTGACATTTTTATCAGGATCTTTCAACTTACTTTTTTCACAAAGACTCCTAAGGGAGAGAAGAGGAGTTGAGGAGAGTGAAGGAGCTGAGATAGGAGGCTGACTCAGAGAATGTGTCCAGGGAGAGATGACAGTAACTTGAACTGGAATGGTAGCAGTAGAAATACTGATAATAGCAAGGTTTTGAATACAGATTGTCCCCAAGTTACAATGATTTGACTTTCAATTTTTTGACTTTGCAATGGTAAGTGGTACAATGGCAAAAGGCACAGACATTCAGTAAAAACTGATCTTTTTAATTTGTGTACTTCCTGGGTTAGCAATATATGGAATACCCTTTAGCAGCAAGCCATAGCTCCCAGTCATCCCCCAGTTACAAGGATAATTGTACTACTCTCTACAATGAGCTGTGCTGCTAAGCTGTAATCTAAGTAGGTCAGGAAGATTAAATTCATTTTCCTCTTACAGTACTTTCAACTTACAGTAGATTTTTCAGGACAAAACAGAAGTCAAGATACACCTGTATATTCTGAAGTTCATAGTCAACAGGCTTTTGCTGATGTTCTACTGTGGTGTGCAACACAACAGAAGAGTGAAGGATGACTGCACTCATTCCTTCACACTGCAAGAACTAAAAACATTGGGTAGTATTTTTTAAAAAACAATAGAGTCATGATCTATATGTTCTTTCATTTTCAACCCTGGGCACCATTTCCAATTTAACATTGTGAAACATTTCCTCATTAATAAGCACAGAAAATATTTTTAAATGGATAAATACCTGCTATTATACTATGTCATGGTGACTTAATGAGTCCAATGTGGATAGAGATTATTTGCAGTTTTAGTGAAATTATGAAAACTGGAGCAATACTGTGATCTGATACAGGCTTGCTAGAAGATAGTAAGCTATCTGGTAAATCTGAATTTCTAGTCATTTCCTGCAGCTAAATAGACTATTTTAAACTGTCTACATATTTAATTTAAAAATCTACTGTTCTTCAATTGTAAAAGTATTGTATCCTCTTTTGAAAGGTAATATATCCAGGGATTTAAATGGGACTTTCCTGGTGCTAACCAAATTTCAGTTAACCAACCCAAAGACTGAGAACAAGAGATGCTATTTAACTATGAAAGGAATGTTAAGGAAGTATGCAAACAGTTTTTGTGATCTTTGCTTCACCACATATCTTGACAGTGTAATAAGGGGGAAAATATAAGAGTGAAGAAGAAAATTGCTGGCATTTATTTTTAAAGACAAATTTGGAAGTGTTCTTTGGTGAAAGGGCTCCAAGATTGGTAGGGCTCACAGGACTCTGAGCTTATTGTGCATCTATCCATTATAGTGAGATAAGAAGAAAAGAAAGACAGGAGACCTTGACAAGAAAGGGACAATGTTGTCCATACATGCAGGCAGTTCGATTACACAAAGCACAAGATATTTAGACAAATTATTAAAACTAAGAAGACCATTAAGCAAGGCTGTTGGATATAAGATTAATGTATATATATATATATATATATATATATCTA